TATATATATATATATATATTTTTAATTATTAATTAAAAATTTACTTTATTCTTATATATTTTAATTATATTAAATATTCATACTTACATAGGTACCAAAAGCAAATGAATTGCCAACCAGAATTTGTCACAAATGTGCATATGAATTAAATCAATGTAGTACTTTTATAAAAAATTTAAACGAAATACAAAGCAAAAAACAAATGTCCGCAAACAGTGCTGCAATTTATGTCGGGAACCTGCAAAAAACGAATTTATTTTTGATCTTGTTAAAGAGAAAAACTTGCAACAAAATATATTTTTCAAAATACGAAAGGTTTTCAATCATGAAGTATGAAATAATAATATAGTGATTTATTAATTATAATATATTATGATTATTTTTTTATCTTTTAATTATATCTTTTGACAGCTTGACAAATTTTGGGAAGAGTTTAAATTTATATGTTTATCTTGTCGATACACAATAGATGTGTTGTTGGATTTACAGCACATATGTGAAGAAACTGCAAATAACATAAAATTCAATAATACAAATAATAAGGAAACAAATAATTTGATTTTTCATAAGGTAATATTTTATCATATATATAATATTTGTTTTATTTGGATTTATTATGTATATAATATCTATTTTATTTGGTTGAATATCTTGATTTTATTTGGTTGAATATGATGATAAAGATATTAAGACATATTTTTATAAAAGTTTTTTGATATAAAAGAAATCATAATATGGGAATAATTTTTTTTTTTATGTAAGTGTGAAATTTCAGAGATTTCATGATCTACTTTTAAGATTCATATTTATATATTTTATAATATAAAAATTAATATTTATAAAAATTAATATTTATATTATGTTTAATTAATACCTATATCTATTACAAAATAAAATTTATTTTTTATTTTTTTATTTTATATATATATATATTATTAAATAAATATATATAAATATATAAATGATTTGTATTAGGATTCATTGAAATTATCTAAATATCTTATAAATAAGAAGTATAATTATTTCATTTAAAAATAAAAAAAAAAATAAAGATGATTTTAAAATCTGTGAAAATTTTTATTTATATAAAATTTATTTTCATATGGCTATAACAAAAAACTTTTATAAGAATATTTTTTTTATATCTTTATTGTTTTCTGATATATTCAGTCTAGAAAAACAAATATCTTATATAATATTAATTTAATTTATTAATTATATTATATTAAATTTATATTGTTCATGATATTTTTATAATATTTATTTATAGGTAAAGACAACTGTCATAAGTCGCAAAACTACTATTACTGAATCTAAGAGAGTAAATTTATCCATATTACGAGAATCAGAAACTGATTCTGACAATATGACTCGTACACGATCTCAAAATCAATTGAATAAAAAAACAATGCTAAAATCTTGTAACAAATGTCATGATTCTATTAAAACTGATGATGACATGTATAAGATTCATGAAACAGGAAATATTGTATGTAAAAATTGTTGGAAAAACATGAATATTTATAAAAATGAAACTGAAAAGCAAAAACAACAAAATCTTACGGAAATCAAACTTTGTACAGTTTTTCTAAAAGATGTATTAAAAGATAGTGACATAAAAGCGAAAAAACTGTATAGAATTAATGAAGATGATGAAGGTAATAAAACATATATTATAATGGATAATGATTTAAAAAATGAAAATAAATCTAATAAAGAATTTAATAATATAGAAAATAATATAGAAAAACAAGGTCAAAAACGATCTATCAAAGATATAAATGAAAATACAAATAATGAATATACACCTAATAAAAAACACAAATCTAATATAAAAGAAATAAATGATATTAATTTAAAAGAGACAATTCATTTGAGGCAAAAGAATCGAAATCGAAATAATATTCAAAATTCGGATTCAGATTCTTCTGTATCAAAAACTACAAAAAGAAAACAAAGAACCTTAACAATACATAAACGAGCAATTGGTTTATCGTTATCCGATGCCGATGTTGACAATAAGTATAGTCATAAAAGATTAAAAGGTGTTTTAAGAGGTATTTCTGTAAAAAATATAGATGAAAGTGACGAATCATTATCAAACGAAGATGTATCAAAGAGAAAGCGAACAAGACTTACAAGCGCTCCACCAGAGAGTGGATCTTTGCGAAAAAGAAAAAATAATAGCCAAAAACGTTCCATGAATTTTATTGATTTAACGTCGTATGAATTTCAATCCTTAGAATCAGATAATAATAAAGAAGATATATTTCAGACTCAGACATATGTATGTGATGAATGTGGAGCTAGTTATGAAAATAAAATGATAGGTTTAACACACAAATTGTCGCATTATAAACAACTAAGATTAAAAATTCAAAAATTAAGTGATGAAAGAATAAAAGAAATATTAAGTTCAAATGAAGCAATAGATGACCATGTAGAAGATCTATCTGAATCTATAGTAATTTCAATAGAAGACGATGAAGAAGAATTAATAGAAGATGAAAAAAATTTAAATGTAAATAATCATGCAAATGTATTTTCTTCTAAAAAAGAAGTAATAGAAGATGCTGTTGATGTGAAACTAGTCATGAAAGAATTTGATGATGATCAGATACAAAAAATTGAGAATGAAAAAGAAACAGAGATTAAAACAAATGTTGATATTTCATCAATTCAAAATGAGAACGAAATTGAAAAAGACATTGTTATAGAAACTGAAAAAAATAATAAAACTAAAAATAATTGTACTGATAATGATAAGACTGATAAAAATATTTGTGAATTTGATGAAAATACGAAATCAGAAGAAATACAAAAAAATTCAGATAAAATATATAATAATAATGAAGATTTACAGGAGAAATATAAAGAAGAGAAACAAATAAAAGATGACCAAGAAAATAGTGGAACTAAAATAGAGGAAAAAAAGAAAAGTGATGACATTGTAGAAAGAAAAAAAGAAAAAGAAAATAATGACATTAAAGAAAGAGAAGAAGAAAGTGATATTGAAGATAGAGAAGATGTAAAGAAAAATATAAATAATAAAGACAATGAAAAAGAAAAAGAACAAAAGGAAATAATATATAATGAAGAAGAAAAAGAGCAAGAACAAACGATGCACATTGAAGAAGAAAAAGAACAAGAGGAAATGAAACACAATGAAGAAGAAATTAAAACGAATAAGGAAAGTAAATCTAACGAAGATTTTGTTGAATTTACTATGAATAAAAATGAAATTCAGACTCCTTTTAAAGTGATTGAACAGAATGGTATTGAAAAAAAAGAAGTAAATGATAGGAATAATTCAATACAAAATACGAAACAGAAATTATTTGAATGTAGACAAGAAAGAAAATCTGATGAAAGTGCAATATATACAAAGATAGATAGTTTCGATTCAAAAGAATCAAAACTAGAAACAAATATATTATTGGAAGAAGAAAATATAATTAATAAAAATGATCTTCATATAGATAAAGCAAAAGTTAAATTAAATATTTCAACACAAGAAGAATTAATGAATGAATCTGCTAATGTTGTAGCAGAAGTATTGCGAGAAGTACTTGATTTAGCAAGTGCAAAAGTTGAAGAACGGCAAGAAAGTATTGATATAAGTGCAAGAAATAATTTTATCGAAACGGAAACTTTAGAAAACATATCACATGAAATACAAAATACTGTTGATATGCCATCTCTCAAAGTAGACAATATAATCGATATTGAGTAATATCCATATGAGATAATGAGTATATTTATCATTTTTCTATAACAAATTAAGTATAGTTCTGATATTATAAAAATCCATTTTCCTTTGTTTTTCTTATTTAGATGTTTGATATACATGTAAATATACCTTGTATATTTTTAATTTACATTTATATAAACAAAAAAGAATAGAATGAAAAATTATTCAATTCTTACTTTAAATTTAAGCAGACTATTCAATTTTAGTATAATATTTTTCATAATTTTCAATTATTTCAAATCATTAATATCCTTTGTATACATAATTTATTTTTTCATACAGAAACATGTTATTATTTAAAAACATGTTATTACATAAATGATTATAAGTTGACGTATCTGATACATTGTAAATATGTCATACGTTGATATTTAATATTTTTTTATAATTTTCATTATACTAAAAAGAAAGTTAAATTACATATATAATTAAATAATTTAAAAGTTTAGATAAAAATAATTGAATTCATTTCTAAATATTTGCAATAAATTTTTATATATTAATTATCTTTTTATTAAGAAATGCCTATAGAATAGAAAATTCTAAACAAGTTTATTTCTTTATATTAATTGGAGATATTAAAGGTTAATAATTTCTTAATTTTATTAAAATGTTTATAAATCAAATATTGATTTATTTTTTAAAAATTTATAAATTTTTAAAAACTGATAAAATTTATAATTAATTGTTTTTAGTAGTATAAATACCATGTAAAATATTTTAATCGAAATAATTTAAAGAAAAATTTTAAAAAATAAATTATATTGCACACAAATATTATGTGTAATTATGGAACAAGTTTTTTAAAATTTATTATTGATAATTTATTATTAATCATTATTATTGATACAATTAAATTCTATTTTTTGTATTCTATGAATTTATTACAATATAAAATCATCATGAAAATCACAATTTTAATACATATGTGAAATGTAAAAACAAATTGATTGATTAAAATTTTGTTTTTGATATTTTAATAATTTTTTATAATACAGTTTTTTTTTTATAAAAAGAAATTATAATACAATTTATTAGATCAATGTATTTCATTTTATCTTAATTTTCATTTTGTGTTTATAATTTTTATTTAATTCATATAAATCAATTTTCGAAGAATATAACATATATATTTTTATAAGTTTGACTATGCACAAATTGCTCGTTTAAAGATTATCACGACAATTCAAAATATTCATAAAACAAAATATAAAATTTTTATACTCAAGTATAAAGTTGGATAAGTATAACATAAGTATAACAGAATTTATAATAAGAAATTTTATTTGTTATATATAAATTTTTAGGCTTTTGTAAAAGATAGCGAAGATGAAATTGTATCCGTGTTTTCGTATTGATTTTCCAAATCTGACTTTACATCTGAAACATTTATAATAGATATATAAAATGATATTTTTCAAGATAAATAAGATATTTTATTTATATATACATTAGGATGATTTTTATTTTCGAAGCGTTCCCAGAATAGTTACAATTAATAAAAAAAATAATTTGTACAAAATTTTTTTAATCGGATAACGCGAGAATGTTATTCCTGTGTTCTAATAATTAATTAATTACTCAACTATTTTTTTTGAAAAATCATTTATTATATAAAAAAATAGTATAGCATTAAAAGTATGTTCTGTTTAGATTTACATCTACTACATTTTTTGATATAATTAATAATTTAGAAGATAATTAAAAAAAACCAGTGATTATGAATTATAAGCATTTAATTAATTATCTCTTCAAGATATTTTTCACTATTCGAGCGAGTTTAAATTTTGTACATATTATTTTCTTTATTAATTCAAACTATACTAGTAAAAATACTAAAAAAAATTTAATCAAGAGTAAATAAGATTATCCTAATATATGTCCTCATAAAAGTTATAAAATAATTTACATTTGATTCAAGATTGGTTCAAAAAACAAAGAATGTATAAAAGAAAATCACTTAATCCAATATTTTATCCAATAAGAAAATATAAAGTATAATAAAAAAAAATACATGCAATTTAAAATATATCTTCATCAAATACTAAACTTTTTTGAAAAAAATAAAATATCTCATGATTTTTGAATGAAAAGATAGTACATCCACAGTATTCAAAATTTAATCGATAATTATATGACTTTTCATGAATAAGAAGAAAAAAGAAATTAATTTTAATATCTTATGTAAACATTTGTTAGATATTAAAAATTTTAAAAGTATAATACTGGCCACTGTATGACAGTCATTAAAGTGTTTTTTGAAGAAAAATATGTACATAATATAAATATGCAATTATTAAAATTAAGACTTCGAACTGAATATAAATCGTATGCTTTTGAATTTTAAATATTTCTCAAATATTATAATTAGTTTCATCAGAATTCAAATGATATCTGATATTGATATATGCAATAATGTATCAATATGCGATACATTATCAGTATGTGAATAATTATTATAAAAATTCACAATACGCTAAAAAATTTTTTGATAATTGAATGATAAAACATAAATATGTATAAAAAAAAGCAATTATACGTTGTAATATTAATAATAATTTAGTAGTAAATTGATGTTCAATTTTAATTACCGATTATCTTTTCTTCTTCAATCCAGAAAGGTTTTCTGTGACTTTTCCATTGACAAAGATCCAATGTTGCATTTTGATCATATTCACCACATCGTAATAACAAGTCGATATATTTTTCGATTTTTTCTTGCCCTTTAAAAAGATATTATATATAACATTATATATACATATATTTGTTTTATACATAAATGAGCACTTTAGAGAGTTTTATTTAATTTTTATCGCATTTAGGAGTAGATAAGAGACAATTTATATTTCAATACTTTGTAATTAAGCACTCAATATCGCGATATGATTTGTGTAGATAAATATTTATGAAATGTTAAAATATGTAAAATAAAAAGAAAATAGTAATTGTATTTCTATATAATTAAATAAGAATATCGTGTATAATTTTCAATATGTGAAAACATAAGGAATTTCACTTCATACTGTTGTTTTTTATCAAGTAAACATAATATTATATGAGTTTGTATGCTAGATATAAAAATAATCTTTTAAAGTATTACCTTTAGAAATTCCTGCTATACACCTTGCGCGATCAGCTTCGTGGAACAGGCCTAATCTACTGTATAAGCTAAAAGCAGTTTCTAAATGACCAGTAGATAGATGTAACTTTCTCTGTAAGAAAAAATTAACAATGAAATTTTTTTTTTATTTCAATATATTTTATATTCCATAAAAGATATTAGTTAATTTTATTATTTGACAAGTTAAATATTATAGATAATTATCATAATCTTTTGATTTGTGTATATATTTTTTGAATTAATATATATTTTTTTGTAGAATTATTGTAACAATATTTATAAGCAGAGCATATTTTTTTCTAGTTTATTTTTACCTGATTTAAATAATGTTCACCAGTGTAATAATGTGCATTTGCGAGTTTTTGAATAAGACCAAATTTCTCAGCACTTTCTCGCCACTTTTGCAAATGTTTTTCCGTATAATTAGTGTCATTTAATTGCTATAAGTTTAAGATAAGTGTCAATCACATTTTTGCGGAACATATTAAAAAAAAAGAAAAAGAATTTGATTACCTTATACGTAAAAGCTAATTGCATATGCGCATTGCAAATACCTTCGGCATCTGAAATTCTTCTTGCAAGGGCCAATAATTTTGAAAAATTATGCAACGCATTTTTTGTATCACTTACAGCAGCGTAACATTTACCAAGCTCGTAAAGAACTTCATTCATATATTCAATGTTCTGAGCTGTTTTTATTTTCATTTAAATAATATTATTTATTTTATATGAAACTCATATGAAATCGATGAAAGTTAAAATTTACCATCTACAGCTCTTTCCTCAGCTTTTATGCAAAACGATAAAGCGCGTTTAGGATCTTCGGGGCGTATCTTGCGAACTAAAATCAACAGACCTTTATATAAAAGTATGTTACATTCTACGAAAATAGAACGTTGCTTTATTTGCAATTTTTGTGACGCATTCCAATATTTATCTTTTGAATCTTTTCGCACCTTCTCCAAGTAAGTTATAGCTTCTTTTGGCTTCTCTACTAATTATATAATTGAAAATATTTTTAAAAAATTTATAATATTTTTAAGAAATTCGAAAAATGTGAGGAGATCTACATTACTAACATTCATAAAAGAGAAATCGACCGTATAAATAACGTATCATTGTAATTGTTTTATTATCATCATTGATTATCCATTCTGAAGCTGAAAGAGCAGCTTGATATAATTGTTCTGCTACCCACCACCATTCCCATGTTTTTGTTTGGAAAAATAGGGCCATATCTAGAAGTGATATTGCTCGTCCAATGTAATCATCTGTAGCAATTAATCAATATTTATTTAAAATTATATGTAAATATGTTATTATTTAAGAAAGCTTAAATGAAATTTATTTTTATTTATTATATTATTATTATATTTTTTCATACCTTTCCTTCTACATTTTTCAGTTTGGATTAATCCGTCTTTCAAGAAAAGTATAAAATCTTTTTGATCCTTCAAATATGGTTTTTTCCACGATATCAATAGTGTTTTTTCTACAATTTTTTCATCAAGATCTAAAATTTCTTTCATATAATTATATGCTATATGATATCCTTCTTCTTCAAGTTCGCAAAGAATTGCCTCGTGAAACGGAGTATAAAATCTATTTGTAATTATTGCGGTTAAGATTTTTATAAATATTTTTTATGTTATTTTCATTTTTATATTTTTAATCTATATAATAACAATAATAATAATAATAATAATAATAATAAAAATAAAAACCTTCTTAATTCTCTGGGACTTATATTTGGTAATGCAGCTTTTAAGTCGTCCATAATCTTATATATTTCTTTTCCCTGAGCTTGAGGCAAAGTTTTTAATTTCGGATTTGTATAAGTTGTACAAATTTCCGAACTATTTGACCATTCTTTACAATTCTTTTTTAAAAGTTCCATGATATCGTATTTTTTTTCTTCGTTATATTCCGTCATTGTGTTGTCAAAATATTTCTTCATAACCTCTAATATATATAAAATGTATGTAATCAGAATGGAATAGGAAGAATAAAGTTTAGGAATATAGTAATAACTATGTGATCAGGTTTCGCAACGTAATAGCTGCATAATTTATTGCATAAGATAAATATTAACATAAGTAGTAAATATGCCTATACACATTACACGGCCGATAAAATATACACACATTTAAATACAACCATATTTTACGAAATGGCATCTCACGCATGTGCAAAAAGTATGGCGCTCAACAAAGAGCATATACACACACAATAAAATATGTTATGATATGTTCAGTTCACCGCACGAAAAGCCCACTAATCGTGTTTTTATTTGTAATAATAATTCATACATTATCTTTGTACTTTTATGCAGTAGTAGCTACCGGTTTCCTAGGTTCGAGCCTAATCTTGAATCCATCAGCTCTTTTCAAAATAATGTCAGCTTGTAGTCTGAAGTCAGATTCCTTGACATCGGATTTTATGCGGAAGTTTCTTAAAATCGTTGACAAAACGATCTTGAGTTTGAGCATTGCATATTTTCGACCTACACATGATCGTGGTCCAGCCGAGAATGGTACAAATGCGTAATAGTGACGGTTCGCGGTTTTCTCTGGTAAGAAATTGTCAGGATCGAAGACATCTGGGTTAGGATAAATATGTGGCTGTCGGTGCAGTTTAAAGGTACCAATAATAACCGTGCAACCTGCTGGGATAGTATAGTCTCCACTTGCTAAAATTACCGTGAATTTAATATTAATACCGGTGAAAGAATAAAGTGTATGAATCAATGGAAAATGTAAAAAAATCTTTTCTCACAATACTAACCTAATTTCAAATCTGTCTTGATTTCACGAGCTATAATGGGTACAGGTGGATACATTCGAAGTGTTCCAAAAGACAGCGTTCAAGATATTTCATTTCTAAAGTATCTTGGAAGGTGGCTGGCCTGTCACTGTCCCCAAAGATCTCATCGAGTTCCTGAATTACTTTTTCCTGAATATCAGGATGACAACCCATCATTGCAAGGAAGAAACTAGATCCGGAAGCAGTGGTATCGTGTCCCTTTGAAATACAATATTCCATTTATTTTTATGTAAGAATTTATATTATATCGAATTATATCGAATATCAATTTTTTTTAAAAAAATCTTACCTCAAACATAATTGTATCTACTTGTTCCTTGACTTCTTTATCGGAAAGAAGAACACCATTTTGACCGGCTTCGATCAAAAGATCGAGAAAAGCTTGTCTCTTTTTTTCACCGACATCATCATCAACGTCCAAATCGTCTTTAAGACCAACCGATTGCCCAAATGAAACACCCTCTACTACAATATTATTGCCCTAACATTTACAAAAAAATGGTATCAATATACATTATTTTTAGAATAAAAATTAAATATTGTACATACGAAAATTTGTTTGACTCTTACTTTTGATTCGGTTTTCTGAGTATTATCAATGATATTACGCTTTCCGCTTTTGTATTCTTCCTTCTTGATTTGAATAACTTTTTTGGTTAATCCATGGATAATCTCAAGTAATTTGATCTGATTTTTGCTGTATTTTGTCAGATTGAACAACCAGTCAGGTCTAAGCCAAATTTTCGTGTGACGGAGGTGCAAAATGTCGCACATCCTATAAGCAATTTAACATTTCTTTGCTTGAATTAAATATACATAACGTTTATATTACAGAAATGCATCCGATTTCCAGTGCTTATGCAATACTGGTTATAACTCGTGCATATTGGAATATCAGCAAACTTTCTCCAAGAAAGAAAACGTTTGCGTAAGAGGGTCGGAAAAACGAATACGTACTTCATCACAGCCATGGCATATTCGAATGCACTGTGGTCCCGAGAGGGCTTGGAGACACCCATAGCGGTTTCCAGAAGAATGTCAACAGTCAGTTCAGACATATAATCATGACAATCGAATTCCTTGCCATTTTCTTTGCGCATCTTCTCAACAACGGATTTCGCATTCGCATTGAACAAATTGATAAAGCTTTTCAATACGTTCAAATGGAAAGTTGGTGCGATTAATTTGCGATGACTACGCCATTTCTGACCTGTATTTATGATCAATTTTTAAGTAAATTATTAGTTATATCATGATTAAAAATCTTTGAAAATTTATAGAATTTATAGGTACACCAATTCGGTCAAAATTTTAAAATCATTAACATGTTTCATAAAAAGTATTTAAGAAATAAATTAGAATTCCATTATTTTAGAAAATTCTTTTTTTTAAAAATCTATCAAATTGATAATAAAATTAAAAAAAGATTCAATATAAAAAGAAAAAAAAAAATGATTAAAAATTTTTACTGATATTGAGAAACAATTATATATTTTTTTGAAATATGAAAATTAAGATATAATTTCAATCGTGTTTTCTTTTTTCTTTCTTCATTTATTTATTACATCATTATTATGATATAATAATAATGTAATAAATTAAATAATAATGATATAATTATTATATCATCCTGTCAATCATAAAAGTCTCAATACATCTTGAACCAATTATGTTATTCAAATTAATAAAAATTTTGTTTAATGAAACTTTAAAGAGTACATAGAATAATAATGTTTTATACATGAAACAATTTTTCTTACAATTCAATTACTGTTTTTTTTTCTATTTTTAAACATATTATTTATCTTACTACGAAAAGATATTTTAAAGCAATATTGTATTTTAAACATGGAAATTTTTATTTTAAAGATCATAAAAATATTGTATAAAGATCATTGGAATTTGCTTAAAGAAGAAAAATCTCTAAATCTTTGAATATACGGTGTGTATCAAGAATTTTGTGATCGGCTGTACACGGAATCTAATTCAATAGATAAAAAAATGAAAAGCTGAGAAGGAAGCAGTAAAGGATACGAAGAAAGTATTACGTCGATGCAATATACTACCGCATAATATGCACGTGCCGACTGTGCGAGTTTGTTTCACGCGAGGCTGTTACGTGGGCTTGTCGAGCCCTGTTATGCAGTCGATTAAACGATCTAAAGAGTTTCGTTAAAAGAGAGAGAGAGAAAGAGAGAGAAAAAAAAGGCCATCTAGACAGCGAGAAAGTTTTATATATATATATATATATAACTGCACTCAATCGTGAAACTGCATCTTGTTCTTTCACCCGATTATTCTCGCTCTCACTGAAGAATGCCTTTTCTTTCTTTTAAACCGTTTATTCGACTCTACGCTGCTCTCACTTTTATCTTATGGATTATAATTTAATAATAATCGTAAAAATTATTTTTTCAAGTGTGAAATCATTTTATCTTGAAATCGTGAAATTAATTTTTGCAAATATTCAATTAATTCATTGATTTTTTCATCTGTGTGAACTTGATTGATTTAATCTATTGAAAATTTATCGTTTACAAAGGGAATCTTATTATATTGTTATTATTAATCATATTATTATTATTTCTTATGATTTCAAACAATCCATGGTATATAAAAAAATTTTTTTTTTTCCAATTCGAAACTTACCAGTGGAAATGAGAAGACCGTCGCCAAGCCATGGTTTGAAGAATCTATATTCAGTGGATTTATCAATGTACACGTTACTTGAAAGGATTATCTCAACATCACGAGGATCTATCAAAAAGATCATTAATTTGGGACCGACCCATATTTTAACAACATCCTTAAAATTTTCTGCTTTCTTCATCACTTTGCTGAATATGGCTGCAAAAGAAAAAAAGATAAGAAACATCTTATTCAATTTTCTTCTCCTTCACGTATGCACAATAGATATTGAGTTTATTATTATTCAAGTTGTGCAAAATGAAATTTTACTATTACTATAATATAACGTATTATTTCAGACTTTTATTTGTTATTCAATAATATATAAATATATGTGAAATAATATCAATTTTAAATAATAAATTATTTCATTATTCTCCAAAGTGAATAATCTTATAAAATCTTATATGAAATAATCTTAAATGGAAATCTTAACATCTTAAATTATATCAAAATATAAGAATGATAACAGACATATAACTTGGAGCAATGTGTTTGTTAATTGAAATAATATTTCAAATTCAAGTCTGATATAAATTTATAATATTAATCTATTACTTGCCATCAGAACTTCCAAATAATTCCAGAGCATTTCCAATCAAGGGCAAGGTAGGCGGGCCAGGTATTTTTTCAGCAAGTTCGAGCATATGACGTCTAGAGATCCGAAAGTAGATAAAATACAGAACTAGAGCAGGAATGAGAAGTGAGAAAAATACGGTGCTTGCGGAAAATCCAGTGGCCGAGGCAGTCGCTATTGACCCGGCTACGATTTCCGGTCCCGTCGTAGACATGGTTAATTATCAATAAATCTAAAACCTGAAAAGTTTTATATTTTTCATTGAATTAAATCTTGGTGACGAGATTGAGGGAAAGATCACTTGTTATCATAAATGAGCACACAATTCTTCCCGTGAAAGGACAGAGAATATCGTCGAATAAGTAAGAATCGAATCTTCTGTTGTGCAATGCAAGAAGAGAAAGAAGTATCACCACCCACCTAAATGTAACACTTATGATTCTTGTCGATGAACCATCACCGAACTGGTTTTCCAACTTCGTGCGATCTCTTTTATAACCGGGCCTTTCTACGGTCACCCCCTACTCAGGCAAATATTCACGATGCTAATTAATAGCTGTCCCAATGCTTTTATTGGAATTGTTAATCACTTTTGCTATGCTTTCATGTGTATTATGCATTTAGATTATTTTATCGAAATTACGATTTTACCATATTCTTCTTTCTTTTTTCCAGCTTCACGATTTTAAAATGTTCACTATTAAAATTTCTTAGTGAAATTGTTGAACATTTGACGAGGATCAACGCATTTTGTATGTATTTGTAATTTTTTTATCTCTCTTTTTTTTTTTTGTTCACTTCAAATTACACTTTCTTGTCGTTCCTTTTCTTTTCTTTCTTTTTTTTTTTTATTCATACACAATCAATTATTAGAATTACTTTTTTAAAAATTTTGCAATTATAATTTTTGTTATTAATTTCAGTGCCATGTGGTATTTTTAAATAGTGATATTTTACACGCTTGTAATATTTATTTAAAGATATTAAGAAACAGTGAGAATAATCACATTTATTGATGATGCGTGGAAAAGAAAGTTGAAGAAAAATTTCTTGCAATTCACTATGGGTAATAATTATTGTAATTGATAATTTTATTAGAAAAAAATCATATAATGATAACGATTAAAGGGAAAGTATATTTAATAAAAGGAAAGAATTCATAATCGTATGAAAAGTGATTTTTTTTTTTTTTTTCAATTTTGCATATCGATAATTATTTCCATTGTTAGGCATCTTATTTCGAATTGAATAAAAAGAAATTACACCGTCATCGAAGACGTAAAGAACATTTCCGCCTTGACCTACTCCCCTATCGCTTGTCAGCGGTTTTGTCATTTACAAACAATGCTTTTTTTTTTTTTTTTCATTTGCTTGCGCAGAAATTATTTGCTTATAATTGCCAGAATATCGTATCATTGCCACATTCGGAAAAAAAGTTTATAAGATTTTCATATTTTGAATCATTTCAAATCATATCATTGAAATGTAGAAATGAAATTTTCTCGAGTAATGTCTCTAAGATTGTGTCTCTTAGATCAATTTGTTTTTTAAAAAAAAATTTTTATCTTCCATTAAATAATTATTTGTATTTATGTGTTATCTTCCATTTATACAATTGATTACAAAGCAATACATATTGTAAATATTTTTATTATTAATTGTAATTATTAATTGTAAATTCTTTTTTTTTTAATGATATTTCATCTTTCATTTTATCTTTCATTATATTGAACGTTAATTTAGTCAAATTTTTTTTTACTTAGTCTATGCAAAAAGATGCAAATGTTTAATCTAATCTCTTTTTATTGTTTGTTGTTAAAATTGTTTATGTTCAAATTGTTTTGAAAATTATATAATTATAATTATATTGCAATTTATATAATATTTATTTGAAATTTTGAGATGTAATGTATAAAATGTTTTTTTAATAATATGATTTATATTTTTGTATATCTAATGAGAAAATTTCATTTATGCTTACAATCACCGGATATCCAGGTTACTGCTCGATGACCTGACATTTTTAGCTAATACGTAATAAAATATTTTCTTACGATTACAATTACGTAGGTGTATTTTATTATTAAAATTAATTATATAACGCTTAGATAAATAAAAAAAAAAAAGAAAAAAAAATAAAGATAAATGTATCTTTCTTTTTAATTACAAGAAATGTAAATGTATGTTGAAAAAAGAAATTGACATTATATTATAGTGTTAATTTATAGCGTTATAGTTTAATTATAAAATTGTGATAATATCATGAGGAGTAGAAATAAAAATTTCATAATTTTATCTTAGAATTTAAATCCTTTGTTCAAAAAAATCAAAGATTTTAATAACACAAATCAAAGTTGTATTTAAATATTATGTAAGTTATTATGTATATTTAATTCAAGTATCAAAGTTCATAAAATGAAATAGAAATAAAAAAGAATCTTTTTCTAATATATATTTCCATATATTTACAATGTTAATTAATATATTCTAATTTTATTTATTTATTCAAATTAATAATTATTATTTAATATTATTTAATATTATTTTCATAGAGGGATCATATGATTAAAATCAAATTATTCTTAATTTTTTAAATATTAACTTTATATTTTTCATCATATTAAAAATAAAAATGTAATATATTATTTTCTAATAAAAAAAAAAAAAGTACTAAATCATTTATAACAAAAGATGATTAATTTCGAAAGAAATTAATTTAATTATATGCAAATATATTTAATTATATATCTCCTAAACTAATAATTTTTTTACTTTCATACTCCAATACTTTTTCATAAGGAATTATGAATTAAAACATATATGATTCTATTTAAAAAAATAAAACTAAGCTCGACTACTTTTTAACATGTCTAATTATGAATAAATTTCAGATTACAGCCCCCTTGAAATCATTCAACTTTTATTTGAACTATTTTTTAATGTTATGAAAAATAACATTTCCAGATAAAAAATTACGTGAAATATTCCTGACTATATGATAGTATAAAGAGAAATGATAAAAAAAAATATTATATATATTAAAATATTTATATATGTGCCTTATACTTTTATACAATAAATTAGCTTTGTGTATCAAATCGTATATCATATTCTATAATTAGTAATTGAATAAAATATTTGAAAAATGTTATTCTGAACATGAGATGTCTAAAAAGATAGCAAGTATTAAAAAAGATAAGTATAGAAGGTAAGTGTTTAAATTCCAAAAAAATTTTGCATAAAATTTTCTATAAAATCTATATTTTATTAAAGGATTCGACAATTCTTAGAAAAAGAATTCTTAGACGTTAAATTGCTGGAATTATCGAAATTGTTGAACGAACGAAATTTTTGGTCAATTTGTGGATATTTTATATTAAGAAAAACATAAGTTGGTAGGAGGTTGCTCGAGAAATTTTTCCTGGAATTTCAACAGTTCTTGGAAATGATGTCAAATTTCCTGGAATTTTAAAAATTTTAAAAATTTGACGTAATTTCTGCAAAAATTTCTTATCAATTTATATTCTCCTATTACAAAATTGAAATTTTGAATAGGAAAAATTTTTATTAAAATTTTCAGCTTTAAAAGAATATAATGTGACAGGAGATAGCATATGAAATTTTTTTAAAAATACTAATGCAAAACTTTTATTTAAATTTTCGATTTTATATTAATCTTAATATAATCCTAATATTTTGTATTTTTTTATATATGTAGATATATACATTTTTGACATCTGATATATAAAAATTGATAAAATAGATACATATTAAGAAGAAATTGAATGGATTTTGATAAATTTTTAAATTAATATGATAAAAAAGATAATAAAAAAATAATTAGCCGTAAATAATTATGTCTTCGACACATAAATTTTCCAGATTAAATATAGAGAAGGAAAGAAAATAGTAAAAAGACAAAAATTGAGAAATTAATGCCATATTTTAGATAAAATAAATGCAGATAACGAAAGAAAATAATAGGAAAAGAATAAAAATTGGATAAGAATTAATTATTATCGCGTGAGTGCCGAAGATATTTTTTCAAGATAAGATTAAATAATGTAAAAAATTGACAATCAGCGCCATCTCTTGAATGCTAAAAATATTTCCTTTAAAGTAAAGTAAATAATTAAGAAGTAAAGATTAGCGCCATCTTTTGAGTGCATTTAAAAAGATGTTTTTTTTTTATTCAAGAGATGGCGTCAATGGTTAATTCTTATTCTATTCTTTTTCTATTATTTGTTTTCCTTGTATTTGTTTTACCTAAGATATTCTAGAGATGGCGCTAATTGCACAATTTTTATCATATTTTTGTCCTTTTATTATTTGCTCCTTTTGTTTATATTTATTCTTGATATGAACACAGACGAGATACAAAATATTAATTGAACACATTTTATCATTTTTTTAAAAAGTATAATATATTCTAATCTTTAATTTTAAAAAAAATATAAATATTACATTCTTGACTTTATAATGTATTTTTAGAATGCAAAATACGTATATGATATACAATTTAAAACATTGTTCGCTGATAATGTTGAATATTAATAGTTTAAATAAATAAATTTAGAAAGCAATATAGTTTATAATAAAAAAAAATATATTAGAAATTTTTATTCATATTATTTATATGAAATATAATAAATATACATAAGATGAGATGTATAATATTTTTCATATATATATATATATATATATATATATTGTATATAATTCATTTGATAAAATAAATATAAAGAAATACTAAAGATATCTTTAAAATATACTTTTACTTATTTATTTTGTTAATGGCAGTTGAAACATTTAAAACAAAAAATTTAGTCAAACATATGATTATTATCTACAATTCTGTGACCTACATCAGATGGCAGCACCTTGTTAAAAACAGTAATTGTTTTACGATAATTTAAGTTAAATTGACGATTAAAAAATCTTTTTGAGTTAATCCCAATATTAGTGACGAATTTAATATAGTGATTCTTGAACGAAAGAATTTTGTTGCTTTATGTGCAAATTGTGTTAAAAACTTAAAAAATTCAATGACAATATAATATATTGAAAAGTTTCAAATTAAGTTTTTTAAAAATTTATACATTTTAAAAGATTTTCATTAAATGAATCCATTTTAAAAATACATTTTCATTAGACGACTTATCATCAGTAGTGATAAATTGTTTTAACGGAAATTGGGATTAAAAATATTGATAAGAATTTGTGAGGTTATGTTTTTGTTGAATCATAAATTCATCAATTTCTCGTAAAAAAAAAAACACGTGGAGAAATAGCACGATTTTCGCGCATGTCATTTAAATAACGCGGGATTAATATCTAAAAACAGTTTTTGATACTTGCTCTTTTTATCCCGTTTAATCTACGGAAAATTGTAAGTAAACTGATTAATTATTTTATGCTTTAATTTATATCTTGGAAAGATTCGTTACATAACAATTGAAATT